GAGCAGGAATTATTGTTTTTACATAGTTAAACAATGGCCTTCAGCTTCGCCAGATAACTTAAACAAAATTAATAACTATCATTAAATTATTCATTTCTGAACTTTGGTCTTTAAGGATGAGTGAATAATTGGGTTGTCAGAATTGAAAAACAGCCGAGTCTACATGCATAGACTCGACGAATTCCTAATTCTAGAAACCGAATTTCGGTTTAACACCCGATGCATCCGAGTCTCTTATGGGTATTATTTCTGTTGTTGTTGTTTCAAATTTCCGAACTCTTACAACTTATGTGTTTTTGTAAGGCCTTAAATCCGTCGATCGTTTTAACGTCTCATCATCGCGAACGTTCTCCAGAATGCAACACAATGGGGGAATGTATTACGCTCATGAGAAAGGCGAAAATCTGATGCAGTCTCAATTTTGTTGGAGAATATCTCAGATGAATAAAGATCTGTTTGTGTTCTACTCCGTCTTCCTTTACCGTGAAAACTCGAATGGTCTTTCAACTGGAATAGAATAAGAAATAGATAGTAAAACAAATTCCAAATTTGGGCCTCCAGATGTCCATATTCGGGTGGAAATGTACGTTATTCAAAATTGGATGACTCTAGGCACCGTTGTTTTATCACAATGCGAGAAACATACATACATTTATACAGATTCTTCATTATTTAATTTCTTTAAATATAATACAGGGCGATAATATTTGGTGGCAACAATTTGAAAAGTGAATCGGACATTTATAGAGTGAACCAACGCAAAATGCCAAAACGAAAATAGTAGTCCTTCAGGGCAAATTGTCCCTATGGACTAACTAATAATTTACTGATTAACGAATTCACTATTCAAATAATCATTTTTCCCTCTAGCGTGTGCGCAGTTTCTAGTTTGTTTTAAAGCACGAGTTTATGACAATTTCTTTTGTTTAATCTTAAACTCTTTAATAAAAAACACAATTAAAAATTTCATCGTTTGTTTTTATTTTATGCTAATGTCAATTTCGGTTGAAATACGACAATTTTTTTCTTTATTTCAGATTGTAAGGGATCTTCTTTCTCGTTGTCGTGTGGCTACGTGGTGTAATTGGAAAGCACGTCCGACTAGTAAGTGGGGGGGTCCGAAGTTGAAATCCCGGTGAGTGCAGTGCACAATTTTTACCTTCCTGATCTGAAATAAAAACCTAATGATTTTACAACGGCGAGCGAACTAAAAGGAAGGTGGAAGATAATTCTTCAGCAACAGGATTTGGCACCTGGGTATTATCTTCCTTAACAGTAGACTTTTAAGTGGGGAAGAAGGCAAGGTATATTCTGTCTTCTTACTCGAGCCGTAGTGGTGCAATTCGAAATAAGTTCGGCTAGCAGATAAGGGTCAGGAGTTCGAATCTCGTCGTAGACTTTGCAAGACAAAATAATGACTCTACAAGGTGTCATATTTTTTATTATTTAAAAATACGCTTATTTATTATTTGTACAAAAGCGCTCATAAATCTTAATAACCGAAATATATATTTTCTATGTATTCCCATTTGTAGAATATGTTTAGAATTCATTGAACTAATATTTAACTTTCTTACTTCCATGTATGTAATGTAATTAGAATTCGTTGAACTGACTTTTAATCACTTTATTGAATTAAATACCCAACGATGAGGTCATTCATGTAAAGGAAATGCACCTTTGGAAACTAGATAGAGTTGCATTTGAAACTTTTGCGCAATTTCGCATGTAAACGATTGTAAATAGGTGGCCTTTTACGTGCTCTGCTTTTAATGATATATATTATAGCGAGCTTAACACATTACTTCACCTCTTTGTTAAAAAACTGGTCACATCAATCTAAAAAATTAAACAAATTATACCTCACCATAATGAATACAAAGTGCTTTCGAATAAATACTCATCTGTTTTGTTTTCATTAAATTAAATTTAATGAAAGAAAGAAATGTTAAAAAAATTCCTTCTAATTAAACAAAACAGCTTTCACGCACGCAACAGAGAAACTCGTTTTCTAATACAGTTCCTATTGATGACACGATTAAACAAACCTTCATTGATTTATTTATTGGAAATGAAAGTGATCGAGGCGGCAGCGTGATTTTTCTCACGTGACTCTGCAATATGGCTTAACTCATCGCACGCCTATGACCAGCAGGTCAAATCTTCTGGAGTCTGCCCGCTCCGGTTTTTGTCCTCATCAAATCAAAAGACACATCTGTGGACAGAAGAATTGAAAGGTACTCTTTTTAAAATTTGATTTTCTAATTAAGATTCGAGGTCATTCTAACTACATTCATTCTCTCACCTCGGTTTCGGTAATAAAAATATGAAACTTTTTTTAAATTTTTCAAAAGAGTGTTTCGTAAGTGCTCTAAAGAATGGGCGTTGCGACCTCGAAACTCAATGTGTGCTACTGGTAACTTCTTCAGACTCATCAATCATGCGATCGGCATGCGTATTAGTTAAATGCTGTTTGAATAAAATAGGGTTTCAAAAAAGAAGCGATACGATTCTTTCTTAATGGAGTATACGAGCAAATCTCTTATGAAATAGTATGTCAGTTTGAGTTCGACTTTCATATTCAGGACAAGAAACTGGAGATAAATAAATTAGTGTAATTCTTTCATCATAAACCTTCGTCCTTGTTTAAATTATGAATGTTAGACAGAGCATTATTTATGTGTAGTAATATCCTTAAACCTAAGTTGCAAAACATGAGTCGAATTTCGATGAAGAAATCTATACTTTTACAGAAGATTACGTCTCATAATATAAAAAAGGAGTTTTTGAATGAAAATTAGAGACCATTCGATCCTCTTGTGACTAACCATGACACTCATATTTAACAGATAACTGGCTAACTCAACGATTAAAGTCACGTTAGTTAAAAGTGAACAACGATGCGACGGTTTGAACAATGACTTTTAATTAGTTTAAATCATCATTGTTTACTGAAACTAGTTAATTAAACAATGCCTTTTAACTAGTTTAGTATTTTTGAAAACTTATTATTTTGTCACCATTGGAAATTATTAATACTAGCATCAGTAGTTGATTATTTTCATCCAAACCAACATCAGAGAAGAAATTATATAAAATTTTTCATTTTTTAAAATAAATTGGATTGCTAGTAGACTGTCCTAAGCTTAAATTACTAGAAGTTTAAAGCACAGAAATTTTCTTCAAAATTCAAGCCATAATCTATATTTTTTTAAAATTATCTCTTTACTTCAAATAACTTTGTAAACTATATATATAAAGAAGAATGTCTATTTGCGTGTTTTTTTGTTCGCGATTAACTCAGTCATTACTACAGCTATCGTCACCAAACGTTCTACAGTTCTTTCCTGTGTCCTGGAAAAAAAAACGGTCCATGTCCACTTTTAAAAAAAAAAAAAAAAAAAAAAAAAAAAAAGCTAAAATCAGATAATTAAAATTTTGAAAAAGCTTTATTTTCGCACTCTGAAGTGTTGCAACTGCTCGCTTTCAAATCATAAAATTTGTTAATAAAAAATTTCTTAAGTTTTACAATGAAATAAAAACAGCATTATCAAACATTAAATACATTATTTCCAATTCCGATTCGTGGGAAGCCATTTCGGCTATTCCCATCTTCGTATGACTTTAATCAGTCGAGATATTAATTAAAAACTCCAAAAACATTAATTTTCACAGTCATTTTCCGAGTGGCAACAGTCTCACACGTTGGAGATAAAAATGCTTTATTTCAAAAAGTGTTGCTACTGCTCGCTTTCAAATCGTAGAGTTCGTTAATCAAAAATTTGTAAGTTTTATAAAACTTATATAAATGTAAGGAAGAATGTCTGTTTGTGTGTTTGTTTGTTCGCGTTATTGATTTCTGATCAATTTTTATGTATTTGTTTGTTCGCGTTATTGATTCTGATCAATTAAAATAATTTTTTGCAACATTTAATCGACTGAAATTGAATGTAAGTGAAATATCGGGTGGAACTTAAACTTTTACGACCAATTTCGAAACTCATTAAAAACTGCGTGCCATTGGTGATGATATAATGAGAAAGAATTAGTTTATTTTTCTATCGAAAATTTTTATATGTGTTCCATATTGCATCAAACTGAAAAATGTATGACTATGAATCGTATTTTTCGGATGATTATTAGAGAAGGATTACAGCAGTATCATTCTCTCTGTTGTTAGATACAATACTCTGAATCTAAATTAACTGGCATCGGATACCTCCCCTAGTACTATCAGGACTGGTATTCCTCTTTACTTGCTTTGGAAACATGAACCGTCCTGACTCGGAACAGGGAGCTTACTCAAGCTATGTTCAATAATTTGTGAAGTAGACAATACACACGGAAGGGTATACGAAACCCTTTATTTTTCTATCTTTACAGAGATTTCCGGACTTCGGAATACAGAGACCAACCACTTGTGGTCTGAACGTAAGAATATAAAAATATTAACTAAAACTCTAACTAAACTAACTTTGGATTAATATACAAGTGCCTATTTTAAGATTGGCCGTTAATTAACAAAAAGCCGTATGTAGTACAGAGAGCTGCTAAAACTACGATACGTTTAAAATTATCAAGAGGATTAAACCTCTGGCCTTGAAGGCAACCAGCAACCGAGTAAAACTACTATGGCAAGCGGCCTGCTTCTAATAACTCCTTCCTCTCTCTCTTGCTTGGCAAAAAGCCACAACTTAAGTACTTGGCGTTAGCAAGACAAATTTGCATAAATAAGTTAAAAAGCTTTTAATTCTGGCCGGAAGTAGAAAATAAGAAGTGATAGTAAAGATTTAAAATAAAATAAACGTTAGTAAAACTTAGGATCCTTACATACTTCCCGCCAGAGTTAATTAGTTTGAAACTGAGGTCAAAAACGACCTTGTTGAAAACTTTTAGCTCTAGAATCTAACGCGAGGCCAATCTTTTACAAACATTTCTCACTAGAAACTAGAAATTAAAAAAAGTCGTTTTTTACATTATCAACTCCATGGACAAATTTTTCATCTGTACTGCATCTAAACAGGAGTTTCTTTAGTTGAAATCTGGTTCCTTCCAGAGATCTAGGAAGGAAAAACTAGTTTAATGAAATGTTACACAATTAAATGGCAAGTAACATGAATACTTATATTTCTCTTTTAACATTCTTATTTCATTCATGACGTTATTTAATTATCTCCCCCGTGCTCTCTGACATGTGTTGTAAAGGAAAAACACCAAACACGAGCGTGTTCTATGTACAAGTGTTCAACACTACCGCCTGCAATCAAAACACTAACGTGTTAAAATTCAACATAACAAGACCTCAGAACACACCTTATATTCATCTCTAAACCCTGAGGTACTATTCTGAAAAGTGGCTAACTCTGAAGTGTAGCGTCAGAGAGCCTAACTACATTCATTCAACCTTTAACACATATTCACAATAATTTGCTCTTTTTACAGTCACACGAATAAGTAAAAAATTTTTTGGCATTACTCTAATATTTTCACTTTTAACATATCACAGTATTTCTTAACTTTTAAAATAACAGTTCACATTGTATATAAGGACATATTAACATGCCGTTAATTTTACGCATTTTAAAACATACATTAGTAGTACATTGTTTGTTAACTTCTATTCTTTTCCAAGCAAGTGCCAATTCTTCTACATTGAAATAACTACATTTCAAAAAGTCTTTCAGACTAAAACTTCTAAAACTTCTTTCTTGCCAGAATCTTTTAAATAAAATTTTATACAATATTTATTTTTAATTATTTTTTAATACTTTTACAACTTTTACAATTTCTTAAGGTACCTTTCAAAAATTACCAGTGCTTTTACAATATTCAAGTATTTACACATTCCTATTATACATAAATTTAGTTTTACTCGCGAGTAATTGAAAAAAACAATATCCAAAATAGGTAACAACTCATTTCTCGCCTTTTTGCGATAAAGGTAGGCCTCACATGAGGTAAAACTTCTTGAATTCTGCCACTTGCAGTAAGAATGAAAAATTAACTTAAGGTTTCAAAGTAACATAAAGTTTTACTTATCTTTGTGATATTCGGACATCCTTTTTTCTGCCCAGGCCTGGAAAGTGGCGAAGACTACAGTCTGGTTTATCTTCCGTTCTTGTACGGGTTCGCCCTTCGTTCCTTCCTCCATGAAGCTTTTTTTCTTTTTCCTTCCAGTTCGGTCACCCTTGAAAGACCTTCTTTTTAGCCTCTGCCTGTGGTCTCGGCCGTTTGATGGCAGCTGGTCTTGGCGGAACCGGGACAACTCTCTCTCTCGTTCCTGCTTGGATCTCGTTGCTGGCCGTTCAAATTTTTCTTTGTTTCTTTGCCTCCGCAGCTGGTGTTTCCTTCATCAATTCGTCGACATTTGCTGCGCGTAGACTCCTATCCGATGGGTAGATCTTCCGTTTTGGAGCCGGGTTATAGTTGCCGTCATTTCTCCTGGCTCTCTTTGCATTCGTCGTACTTCTCCCTTCTTCATTCTGGGGGTGGTCGTGCCCTCTCTTTTTCTGGTCGGTGGAACGGCTTCTTTTTCTTGTTACCTTCAATTTTCCAACGGGGGAAACTTTCTTTTCAATTGCTCCTGTCCTCCTAATGGCTTGCCCTTGTGATTGTCGTTGTTCCACCTCTGGAGCTTGTGCCTGCCGTGCCGGATCCTGCAAAAGATCTTTGAAATATTGGCATTTTATTACGATTATAGTATGGTTTTATCTGGTCAATGTTTGCGGAGCAGGTTTCACCATTCCTGGCTTTTAACACCACTACAGCCTGAGTTATTTTTTCTATGACATATGGTCCTTCAAATCGTGGAAAAATTTGGCAGTTTTATCTTCTGGTGCTGAAGAAAGTGAATGCTTAATTTTTAACACTTCATCTCCTACTTTATAAGTTACTCCCCGTCGTTTCATATCATAATAGAGCTTTTGTTTTCTCTGTGCTACTTCAGTGTTCTTTTTTGCTTCTTTAATTAATTTTTCTATATCACCCATTTTAAATTCTGGGGCTCTTTGTTGAACATAAAATAATTTATCTAACGGCGTTATAATCTTTCTGCCTAAAAATAACTCAGCAGGAGTTTTGCCCGTCGTATCATGTTTTGCGGTCCTAAGGGCGAAAGCTAATTCATTGACATAGTTATCCCAGCTTTTATGAAAATTTTTAACATAACTACGGATAATTTTCACTATATTTCTATTGACCCGTTCCGCTATATTTGATTGCGGCCGATACGGGACCATTTTTAAATGACGTATGCCCAGTTTTTGGCACATGTCTTCAAATATATTACTTACAAATTGAGGACCATTATCCGATATAACTTTTAGGGGCGCCCCGTATTTTAAAATATATTATTTAAAATAGAATCAGTAACTAATTTCGCGGAGGCTCGTTTTAAGGGAACAATTTCGGTCCACTTACTAAAATGATCAACCATAACAAGGAGATACCGACTTTTATTTAACTGACTTTTTGGGAAAGGGCCCAATAAATCGATGCCAATTATTTCATTTGGAAATTCGGATTTAATGCTATTTAGAAACCCGGCCGGGCGGAAATTAATATAATTAACTGCTTGACATGTTGGGCAGGACTGGACATACGCCCTTGTTAACTTTTGCAGTTCAGGAAAATAAACTGCTTCGCGTACGCGTTGGATGGTTTTTCGAATACCAGCATGAGAAGCTAAAGGGCAGTCGTGTAACTCCTGCAAGTATTTAATCTAACTAGCTGGGATAACAGGTCGAAATTCGTTGTTGGAATTCGTAGTTTTTGTATAAAATAATAGACCATCTATTAGTTCGTAATGGGGGCCGCCCTATTTCTTATCGCCACAATATCTTGGTGGCTAAAATTTTCAGGATCCTTTAAATACTCATAAATGTTTTTAAATTCAGGATCCTTACCCAGTTCGGTTATTACAGTTTCTCGGGAATTTATTGTACATGCTGTGAGCATTGCCACCTTTACAGTATTACCTTCTTCATCTATTTTTATTCTGGATAGGGCATCTGCTACGATACGATATTTCCTTTCCGGGGTGTGCTTGATTACCAGATTATACTCTTGTAACTTGAGTGCCCATCTTATTAACCTTGGGGATAAGTTTTTTCCTGAGTACAATCTAGTTACCGCCGCATGATCAGAATACACTGTTATTGGCGCCCTTCCAAAATAGACTCGGAACTTTTGCACTGCTAACAGAACTGCAAGTGCCTCTCTCTCAGTCGCGGAATAATTTCTTTGTTGTTTGATTTAAAGTTCGACTAAAAAATGCCACGGGCTGCTGATTTTGCGAAAGTACCGCTCCTACCGCATAATCCGAAGCATCCGCTGAAATTTCTAAATTCTCATCCTTTTCAGGAAATTTCAAAACAGGGGCTTGCGTTAATGCTTGCTTTAATTTTTCGAAAGCACTATTGGCTTCGGCCGTCCACGAGAATCTTGCCTTTTTCCTTTTTAATTTTAACAATGGTTCAGCAATAGCTGCAAAATCTTTTATAAAGGACCTATAATATGAACAAAGTCCTAGAAAAGAAGAGAGCTTCTTCGCCGTATTTGGCGGCGGATACTTTTGCACAGCGATTATTTTTGATTCGTCTGTCTCGATTCCTTTCTGAGATATTTTGTAACCTAAGTATTTTAATTCAGGGGCTGCAAATTTGCACTTTTCGACATTAACTTTTAGACCGGCCTCATTTAATAATGAAAACACCTGTCTTAAATCCTGTACATGTTGGTCCAGATTATCACTAGTAATAATGATATCGTCTAAATAGATAAATGTGGACTTTCCAAGAACAGGCCTTAGCACAATGTCCATACATCGCTGAAATGTTGCCGGTGCCCCTGAAAGGCCAAACGGCATACGCAGGAATGCATAAGTGCCAGACTTGGTTATAAAAGCAGTCTTAGGCACATCTTCCGGTCTAACCCCTATTTGAAAATAACCAGTCGTTAAGTCTAAAGTAGTCATGTATTTGGTAGAAGTTATGTTCCTTAGAATTTCTTCAATAATAGGTAACGGATATACCGGATATTTAGTCATGGAGTTTAATTTACGATAGTCAATCGCAAAACGCCACCTTTTCGGATGTGTTACCGGATAGTCATTATTTTTCTTACATAACACAACCGGGCTAGCATAACTACTTGAGATGGGCGTTATGATCTTTTTACGTAACATATCTCGAATGTGCCACTCTATAATTTTTTCTTTATTCTTATCATATCGGTATGGTTTGTGGCGAACTGGCAGTGAATCTCCGGTGTCGATACTATGGTTAGTAACTTGAGTAAATCCTGGAATATCACTAAATAACGAAGCAAATTCACTTACCACTTGTCGAATTTTTTTGTTGCTCTTCCTTAGGCAGGTGGTCAAGGTTTAACATTGGTGGTTCTGTTTTTTCTTCTCGAACTGGTTTCATCGTCAGCTTAAGGGACGCTTCGTTAAAATCCAGCGTTGCTTCTGCCTCTGAAAAAAATCTATCCCTAAGATGACATGTGCTTGCAAATTCTTTACTATAAAAAACATAATCTTTACTTGTTCGTCCTTGATACGAACGTATAATGGTAATTTTACCTATGCACTTGCATCTTTTTTCTCCTGCGCAGCTAACACTGTCGTATTATCCGAATTATATATGCGGTATTTACGAAAATACTTCCTAAAAAAATCTTCTGCCACACAGGAACACTGCGCGCCTGTATCCAGGAGTGCGGTGGCTGGGATGTTATTCACCAAAAACTTCAATCTTTGGAAGAGTCAAATTTTTCACCACCATCACTGTATTTAACTTGAAGGAAGAGGGGTTTTCTTGGCCTTCGGATTTCCGCACCCTCCCGTCAGCAGAAATCCGTTTTAGTTTAAATCTTGTTTTTCCTTTCCATGCCTTCCTTCTTTTTCCCACTGGCCTTCAGACTTTTTTTCTGGATTACTATTGAACTGTCGACGTTCGCCGGTTGTTTTTGGATACTCGGGTTTCCTTGCCCACTGATTCGCTTTCCTTCCGTAGCCGTGTTCTTGACTTTGCTGTGGTCTTGGCGCACCAAATTGGCTTTGTTGCTCATACTGGCGTCTTCTTTCAATGTCCGCCGTTCTTCTACTTTCAAACTGGATTGCTAGCTCAAATAACTTTTCCAGTGTAGTCGGATTCCTTAATTCAATAAAGTCTTGTACTTGGGGAAGTAACCTCGGCAAAATCACTTGAATTATCTCAGGATCCGGACGGTTTCCATACAAGAGTTTAAAGACGTGAATTTTTCTTAAAATAAAGGTGGAAAGATTTTCGATTCGTTGCTGATATATGCTGAAAAGTTCCGTTTCTAATTTGCACGATCTCTTACGACAGGGAAGGCTTTTACTAAGGCAGTCTTAAAATTTTCGTAAGTATAGGTGGGACTTCCCGCTTGACCCAAGAGGCTTCTGCCTATACATTTGAACCAATTAAGCGCTTGGCCCCTCAAAGCGCTGGTAGCTAAGGTGACTTTCTGGAACTCATGCACTGGGATACAGCATGAAGTGGTCATCCAATTTTTCCAAAAAAACTGGTTACCGGTGAGTTTCCATTAAATGTTGCTTCTGGTTTCATCATCGATGCGCGCGCATGGTCTGGACGATGTAACCAAATCCTTCCAGGGCGGCAGCTGGCATTTCTGGATTCTGAGCCGCTTCTGCAGGCAGCACAGGTTCTTCTTGAAACTCGGGCCATGGTTATTCTTCTTCTTCTTCGTCGGGCGCCACTATCAGGTTCTTGTGTTCCTCTTTACTTGCTTTGGGAAACATGAACTGTCCTGACTCGGAACAGGGAGCTTACTAAAGCTATGTTCAATAAATGTGGGAAGTAGACAATACACACAGGAAGGGTATACGAAACCCTTTATTTTTCTCTCTTTACAATGATTTCCGGACTTCGGAATACAGAGAGACCAACCACTTGTGGTCTGAACGTAAGAATATAAAAATATTAACTAAAACTCTAACTAAACTAACTTTGGATTAATAAACAAGTGCCTACTTGAAGATTGGCCGTATATTAACAAAAAGCCGTATGTAGTACAGAGAACTGTTAACACTACGATACGTTTAAAATTATCAAGAGGATTAAACCTCTGGCCTTGAAGGCAACCAGCAACCGAGTAAAACTGCTATGGCAAGCGGCCTGCTTCTACTAACTCCTTCCTCTCTCTTGCTTGGCAAAAAGCCACAACTTAAGTACTTGGCGTTCGCAAGACAAATTTGCATAAATAAGTTAAAGCTTTTAATTCTGGCCGGAAGTAGAAAATAAGAAGTGATAGTAAAGATTTAAAATAAAATAAACGTTAGTAAAACTTAGGATCCTTACAGTACATGTATAAGTTTCAAAGTTAGTATTATTATTTTTGTTACTGTAAATTTATTAAAAATTACAAGTTTTTAAACGTTAAATCTATAATTCCTTTCTTTAAATCTTAAAAAAAAAGCAGTTTAAAGTTTAGCCAAAGCAGATTTTCAAAAGCAAAGAGATTCTGAGCATTGTATAATTTTTCAGATACCTTAAATATAAATTTATATAAGTATGATCTCATTCTATATATATATGAAATCAGTATGGCACATGACACTAGAATTTTTAAAGATTACCTAAAATCACAATTATAAAAAACTAATTCCAACTGAAAAACGGAAATTACTCTACCAAACTGATTTCAGCTGGAATCGGACAGAACATTTTCATTTACAGGTGATTTTAATACTGAATCACAATAGCATAAAATTTTCCTCACTCTCACAAATGTGAGATATAAGAAAATAAAGATTATTCTATGCGTGAGCTCTTGTGATTTACAGGTAAGCTCAACCATCCGGTTACCTGGAGATATGGGTCCGATTCCCTAGTACAATCCAAGAGAATTTAACAAATTTTCACTTCAAAAATCTTAATGGCTGTACAATGGTATAAAATGTTTTAAGTAATAAATCAATTTGATTTCCTTTATTTTCTTAAAATGTTATGCATTGACAGGAGGGTTAAATATTCAAAAATGGAAAACACTGTACATAAAAATTACTTGTCTTGAGAAAGCAATGAAACAAGTAATTTTGATTTATTCAAAGGAATACCTGAGTAAATATGAGAAAGAAAAGCATGCGCAGAGCGTTCAAAAAAGTCTTTTAAAAATAACTATTTTTAATAAGAATTATTTTCCTTATTTCTAAGAACAAAATAATTAGTAAAGCTGAATTTCTAAGAACAAAATATAATAATAAAGCTGAAAACTCCAAGAAAGATGCAGAAAACAATATTAACTAACAGCCAAATAAGAAATAATAAATAGCCTATATTTTCTCCTTACTTTTAGCATGCCTTCGTGGTGTAATGGTAGCCCACTCGGCGGGTATCAAGAGCTCCAAGATTCGAGGCTTCGCGAAGGCACTTTTCATTTTACAAGTCTCCTAAAAAAAAAAGAAAAATCAATGACTCTACAGTGGCGCCTGAACTAAAAGATGGTGGACAATAATTCGTCATCACCAGGATTGGGTGACTAGGGTCCCCTAATCCCCAGAAACCTTTTAAAAGGGAGAATATATAGGATATTTTCTTCCGCCTTCCAGCATACCTTCCTGGTGTAATGGTAGCACACTCAAAGTGTATTCGAAAGGTCCAGGTTCGAGTTCCGGCGAGAGCACTACGCATTTTTCACACATCCTGCTTCAGAGTAACCTAATGACCTTACAAGTTGAAGAGATAAAAAGAGAGAAAAATTAAGATATTTAAAAGTAAAACTTAAAAAGTTAAAATCAGCACAAATACCTGTTGAGAGATAAATATTTAAAGAAAATATAATGCATTTAATTTAAACCTGTAAAGAAATGCATTTAAGATAAACCTGGGTCATTCAACATATAATAAAGCCAAAATGTTTTAGTAAGATAATTTTGCCTTTTAGACAACTTTTATTTGTAGTTTTTCGTAAAAAATGATTATCCCTGTTGTAATTTTGTTTATTTTAATCCGGAAGGCAAAGCTGAGAATAAAATGTTAGCCAAAACAGGTTTCTTCAGGAAGGATCAGTTAAAATGTGTAAAACACTTTGTTCCTTATGTGTAACGAAAGACAGTTAAAGTAAATTATGATATGAATGCATAAAAGGTAAATGCAGAGGTAAAGATGTTTCCTAAATACTCCTGATAATCCGCCGGATGTACATTTCGCCATAATTATTTATACCATCAACTTTTGCTTTGGCAAACTTGTTATTCTACAAAAATTGCTGCATTTCACGTTTGAAGTGTTGAGTAACTAAAAGAAATGGGCAACAAACTACGGCCTGTTTTAAGCTTTGCGCAAATGGCATAATTGCAAATCTCTTAAATATGGTAAATTAATACTATTATTTATTTTAACGAAAATATTTTATCTATGCTGTCACTGGTACTAGTTTTGCATGAAATGCAAAAGAAATATCCGATGACCATGTAATGCATTCCGGATGATGTTTTAATACCCTTATTTTAAAATTTAATGGACATATTTATGTATTCACAGATGTGTATTTGTGTATTAGAGTTCCAGTTATCATACCAAGGTGTCCAAAATTTATTCACCGGATAAAGACATGTTTTAAATAACACAAAGAATAAGAGATAGGGAAAAAGACTCACCGAATTTTATTTAGCAATTCAAAGAATTTTATATTAATACACTTCAACATGAGCATCATCAGTTGTTCGGAGAATATAAAGTCTGTTCTTGATTTCCTTCCAGAGGTTATTAAGTATTTGCGCAGTCACAGTAGCTGTTTCTGTAGTGATTCGACTTTTTAATTCTTCGAAGCCGCTAATCTCTGCAGCATAAAGATATCCTGAAAAATAAATCAAGTGCTGTAACAATAAATAGATCGAATCGTGTGAGCGGAGAATGTAGTGACCATGAAATTGGTTCACCTCCTACCAATCTAACGATCTGCGAATGTTTCATCAAGGAACACGTATACATGCGTAACCCAATGACAGGGGTCCCATCCTGTTGGAATAAACGCTTGATGCTTGTCTTCTAATTTCGATTCCGAAAACAATCTCAGCATATCGAAGTAATCATCCAAATTATTTGATGACTCCGAGAAAAAAAAAAAAAAAAAAAAAAAAAAACTAAATTTTTTGAACTAAAGATGATATCGATATAAATTATTTCCTATTACATTGCAATTTAATTTCGTTATCCAGTGATTGAATTACGGAACGTTCTGTATATGCATATTTTTCTGTCAGCTAACAATTCATATGTACAATACGGAGTTCCAAACTTGAATTACAGCAAGGGAATAGTCATACAGAGATTAGGTATGCTTAAAGTTTTCTAGTTCCTTTTTGGGAGATATAGTATTTTTTATTTCTCATTTGTTTCTTAATACTCTTTCCTATGTATTTCTTACTTTATATTAACCCATTAGCCGCTGGTGTTGCGTTGCCGCAACGGTCAAAATAAATGCGTATATAAATAACTACCTAAGATATTTAACGAGCAGATGATTTTGTGGTAGGAAAATTATGAAGATTATTCTGTAAGAAATCTTTGCTTCACAATCATTTTGTTTATATAATTAATCTCATACTTTAAGCAAAATTTTCGACCGGGTATTTTGCTGAAATATTAACGAAAAATCTCGTCTTATGAGTGATCTATTTTTAGTCAAGGTCACCGTTTATGAGGACATTCATCAGCCAGATGTTTATATTTGTTGAAGGAAGGGAAAATAGTTTTGCTCTGACGCAATGTCAGGGAAACGAGTAGTCCATCTTCTTTTTCACTCATTCCTTTCGATGTTGGGTGTTTAAAATGCCTAAACGAGGTATCTTATTAGAAAAGCCCTTCAAAGATTTTTGATGAAGAACAGATGAGATAATTTAATAATGACCAGAATAAAACTGATATTTTTTGTTTTCCCTCAGAAATTGCAGAATGTAGTGACGAGAAGCTTTTTCTTCTTCGCAATGTTTTATATAATGATAATGATATTTTCCAAATGATACTGCTGGGAAAGTTGAAATTCACGTAAGAAGTAAGTTTCAGCCTTCTGAAAGCAGTTTAGTCATACTAAAAGTTTAAAAAGTAAAAGACTGAAATCTTGAAGTGGATAAAAAGGAACTGTTAGTTAAGTCTTGGAAATACGAGAAGGATAGAAGAGAAATTAAAAACAAAATACAAGAAAACCTAGTGCACAGATTTTCGATTTTGTTTTGGTTATACATTTACCTCTTCTCGTTGAACAACAAATATACGCTCAGCGAAAAAAAAAAAAAAAAACGCCCAATTTATTGCATCTGAGCTCTATTATAGATTTATTGGAATTGGCATTTGACAATAGTCAAATTGACAATACTTTTTTTTAGTCAAATTGACAATACTGACAATACTTTTTTTTTTACTTATTGACAATACTGATACTCAATTATGAGGTGAGCCTGTATCTCAACTTACTAAATATCACCACTTTTTACTACTGGAAATATAAAGTCTCTTTTAGATTTCAGACGCGAGAATGCATTATTCCTTTTGCAAACTCCTATTGAGAGTGTAGAATCAACCAGAAATAGATCAGCAACAGGAAGACCTAGTAAATTCAGCATTCAAAAACCATTGCATGGAGATTGTAGACATTTTATCGTAAAACTCGTTGATAACAAAAGACTTTTTTTGTAAAGAGTACCATAACCAGACTTTTATAGATGCAAAGTAATGTAATTGCTTACATCATGATTGTATCAAGCTTTCATGCTTGAATCTTTCAATTGAATAATCTGTATTTGTAAAGAAATACAATGTATATTTTACTATTAAATGAATTACAAGTAAAGTGGTTTGTAGATTTATAAAAGTTATACACTAAAAAATATCCTGCGCTCCACTCAAAAGAAACATCACACGAGTACAATCCACCCACTTAACATCAGTAGTCTTATTCCGCTGACGTTGCGCGAACGCAACACTCGGTTTTCCCACAGGTAAGAGCATTTTTTTTTATTTTCATGTAAATTTATGTTAAAATACTTAATTTAATATTTGTTATTATTTTCATGAAAAAAGAAACATTCCTTGTAGTTTTGGCGGTTAATGGGTTAATATGAAATTCTGTCAGAGTTCTAATGCAACAAAATAGCAAGAAATGCAAATTATTTCATTTTCAAAGTTTACTGATACTTTTTTCACCAGTATCAGTTTAAAAAGCTGGCAACCGTGTTTTCCAACCCACGCAGTCATTTATTCTTGAAAATTGTTACAAGAAGTTGTTTCAAGCCTTCAGTTCTTTAGCGATAAGTAATTTTCGCATCATGATGACATGACCTGATTTATGATATATTCAGGTCAATTTCGTATCAACCGAGTCGATCTGAGCTCAAGCAATCAAATAACTATGATCTAAGATTTTTTGGTTTCTTATAAATATCTCTCTAATGCGTAATTAGCATTGAATCAATTTATTTTCACTAGCTTTGAGTTTTCTATCATTGTCTTGCGTGTGATAATCTCAGTTGCCGCAAACAAAACTTTATTTCATTTGTATACAAAATACTAGAGTTAAAATCAATAATAGCACGCAAAAGCGCCTATTTTGCTTGTGATTATAATATGAATGTTCATATGTAATACTGTGCTATTCGAAATATCTTCTAACGAAAGAAAAAAATTATGTACTGAGCAACAGGCCTTGTATGCTGAAGTAACTGATTTCCACAGAAATGTCGTTCAATTCCGCACGGCACGATCTAGAACGGATGTCATCTTCGCGGGGTATAGTGTAAATAACTGCAAGAAAAGAAAGCGTAAGGAGTTAATATGTACTCTTCCTTTGCATTTCAACTGAAATGTCTAAATAACTTACACATAGAGATGAAGCAGATAATCGACATAATTTATGGCATACAATGTTTATTTAAGTAACTAAGATGTAAAATTTCTATGTAAAGCGTTTTGGTACTTATAATATATTGCGCAATCGAGACCATGTTAACTTATAATATAAGCAAGTATTGTTTTAAATTCCATTTTTATAGTATGTATTAAACCTGATAGCACAGTCATAAAAACCTCGCAAAGAAAGTGGCTCATAATAATTATATGCATAATATTTTCCTATAGAAATTACATAAACTTGTATGGAAATTATGTTCAGTGAAATTACATATAGTATATATTTTCATATGACAACTGAAATTTTATAAAATTATTCTATATAACCTAAAGTATTTTACAACGAAAAAATTTTATAAAAAATGTGTAATGAAAATTTTTATAAAAAATTGTGATGAATTATAAAAAAAATGTGATTGTGATTTATTTAATATTGTGATGAAAATAAGAGAATAAAATTTGCTAAATTTTCTAATATTCTTTAGAAAAACTACATGTAAATACGCACTTTTCCATTACAAAACACTCAAAACATACTGTACAATTTCTGCATTTGTAATACAATATTTTGCTTACAAACATTTGTGCGATTTTCCAAACTGAAAGGTGCGAGCTTCACAGATGCAAATGGGATTTCTTCACAGTTTAGAGACATTAGATTATTTTGATGCTGGAGACGTGAAGAATGAACAGTGACCTCGCCGGGACTCAAATCCGAACCTCTCGAATACTCGCTGAGTCTGCTACTGTTACGTCCCAAAGGCATGCATGAAAGAGAGGATAAAATACCTTTCTACATAAAAGAGAGGAGAAAATACCTTATATACTCTCTTCGTGGCTGATCTAGAAAAGCCATAAGGCGAGCTTGGGCTTGCCAGGAGAGTGGACCGCGCCCTACCTACCTAACTCATATACTCCCCCTTTTAAAGGGCGACTGAGGATTAGGGGATCCAATCGCCAATTCCTGGTGTGGAGGAATCATCATCCACCACCTTTTTTTAGTTCAGGCGCCACTGCAGAGTCATTAGTATTTTTTGGAAGCAGGAGACATAACAAATGAGCAATGCCCTCGCTGAGATTCGAGCCTGGAACTTTCGAATACGCACCGAATGTGTTAATCACTACACCACAAAGGCATGCAGGAAGAAAGAAGAAATAAAATATTTTATAACAGATTGCAGTATTTTCTTTATTACCATCTAAGTACAATTACCTGTAGGTATGTGTTCTGACACACCATACCATATATAGTGATAGATATAGTTCTTTGACACGGATACCCGCTTACCAGTGAAAACTGGTCTCAACATTACACTTGGAATGAAAACTCTCATGCAGTTAGCCCATTCACCAATACTCGAAACCCAGGTCAGAGACTAGAGAGACTACAGTTTTATGACTTTATTCCTTGTGACGTAGATGGGCGTAGAAATTTGTTCTGAGAAAGAATTGAATTATTTCGCTATTCTGAAAGTTAGTAATGAGATATTTTTCCTGATAAACTGCTTCTGAGACCTATTGGTAATAAATACTTTCCTATTGGTAATTTCTTATTGCCTTAAAATGTAGTACCTGTTTCAAGTTATCAACAAAATTAATGCACTAATTTAATTATATATTTGACAAACTATTTCCCATAAAATAAGTACAAAAGGTCAAGCTTATCTAGAAGGCGAAAGTATTTAAATTTCTCATGTTGAATTAATTCTATATGTAGTATAAATATTAGCTACATTTTCGCTTAAAAAAATTCCTTCAGTCTTGTTATTTCCACATAGAGATACGTCGTATATTTTGTCTATTTAATTAACAAATGAGAATAAATTAGCCCTTTTACAATTCACTGGACATCGAATAATTTTTTATTCACTATAATCCCTTAAGCATTGAGATACCTAGCAGATAAAAATAAATAAATAAGTAAAAACTGATATTTATATTACAGGCCAGCATATTTCTATAATAAAAATGTAAAAACATTTCTCTCAAAACGTAATTAAAAAAAAAAAAAAACAGCCAGTGAAATATTTTCAAATGATATTCCTACAAAACTTCTGCAGCAAGAATAAAAATTCTGATTATTAATCCTTTTGAATCTAGACCGCAACAGGACTTCATTACACAACAAATATTGCAAATGATATTTGATTTTATTTTAAGTCTATTGAATTATGCAATCGTTCCAGCTTAC